ATCCTTCGTCGTTGACTGGCTGCTCTAATCTTTATGGTCACTGTCAGTTTCTCCCGCCATATATACCGCTCTCCTTCATCGCCGGTGTCCTGATCTTCATCTCAGTCTTCGGCCTCGCTATGCTCCGCTCGTAAGGGGACCCCCCCCCCCCCCCTTCCCCCTCGCTGACGCATCCACTCGACTGACTGGTGTGGGCTGCTCTCTTCCTAATGCGATGTGGGGAAGCTGCAAGTCCATCGGGAACGGCTGTGTAAGGGTGCGGCAAGTCCGGGCAGCCTCACTCGGGACCATCTCCGAGGTTGATGCGGGTTCTTCGCGCCGACATCCTTTAAAACTAGGCGGTCATGCTGCTCCCATCGCCGCTGTGATGCTTGTTTCCCACATCTTCACAACTCAGCATCCCAACACACAGTTCCAGCTCATCCTCTGGAATTTTTCTTCTCGGCTCCCGTCACGTGCCACGAGCCTTTCTCCGACCAATCTCGGGCCATCTACGTGGCTGGTGCGCATGTCTTTGGGTGACTCTTTTCTCCTCATGCACTGCCGCCATGCTTCCACGTTCCGCACATGCCTCTTTACTAATGACAGCAAGTGCACACAAGGTGTAGGCTTGTCGGCATTCAGCGCTGACTTTGCCGCTGCCTTTCCAAGTTTTACAGGACAATAAAATAAGTTCAGCGGTTATTCTAAATGTTAATGTTTCCTGCTGAAATTGGGGGAGCACTAGATCTACTGTTGTCCTGCAATGCAACTACCTTGTACTGCATATGAAAAAGTTTTCTCTGACAACTGCGGTCTCATTCTGCGGCGTAACATTTTTAAAGTGAGTAACTATAGTTTCTAATTATTTTGGTATTCGAGAAAATCAATACTTGCTGCATTACAGGTGTTTCTAGAACGGCAGCCTTTCACTTGATTGATTAGATTAATTGCAGAGAGCACTGAGTTGTACACATGTGCTTGAACTGACTGCTGTTTTCTTTTTTTTTATAAACATTGATAGTACTGTTCGTTCTAATTACTGCCAAAAAGAGGTCATGGAGAATGCCTGTTTTAATGCGGTACTATGGTCAGGATTTATAAATTCCACCTATGACAGAGGCCTGCAAAATTTTTGAAGAAAACAAAAGTTTATGTTAAAGAACTTTTGAAACACAATTCAAGGCCTTTCGTTACAAGTTTCATTAAACATCGAGAATATTTCAGCCTCAAAGGCCCAGGTAATTTTTAATATAAACTGTATATTATTAACTGCCCACAAAACAGCAGAGCAGACATTCTCTTCATGAAGCACATCATTTACTTTACCATATAACTCAGGCCTAGGTCAAAGTGAAAGCACGAACATGAAAACAGTTTTTTGTTACTGAAGTAAAAAAAGTAACAGTTTCTCTGTAAGGGCGAAGCAATGAATGTAATAGCAACAACTTGGAATGTACCGCTGCGATCGGCTAGCAGATCGAAACGTGCAGCGTGCTGCTCTAGCACAAATGACGCACGAAAGCAAAATACAAAGGATGCAAGCTAACTAACAACATTTACAACTCGATGCTTAACACGCTGTTTAAACAAAAATGATGCACAAAACGTAATCACAGGTACAGATACGAGTGTAAACTAACGAGTGTCCCAGTTGCTTCGCTGTGTTTGAAAAGCGCGCTCTTTTTATAAACGGGGCCTTCCCAGTGAGGAAAGTGACCTTTGTGGCCCAGGCAACTAACGCAATCGTTCTGGTGAAAGGCCAAGGCACACGATTCTTCCCATCAAAAATAAAAGTCACAGCTTTGCCGCAAAGACGAAACAATCAACGCGATAGCAACAAATTGGAAGATCACGCGCAGAAAAAAAAGCGGGTCGAAACGTGCCCCCCGTTTCTCACGTACGAATGACACATGAAACATGATTACAGGTGCAGATGCACGCGAATAAGCATCTCAGTTGTTATTTCACTGTGTCTGTCTGAAATGCATGCACTTTTCGCAAACGGAGACTGCAATGACTGCAGTGACTTTTGTGCGCCCGGTAACTACAACAGAATCATTCCAGGTAAAGCCCGAGGCCAGCCAAAACGTACGATCCTCCCCACCGCGAGATAAGGGGGCGAGGAAGCGTCGCCGCCTCTTCTCAGCGGGGCAACATACGCATGGGAGATTAGAGTGCGTAGCGCCGCGCGATGTGATGACGTGGGCTCATTTTGCCATCTTGCTGGTAATGCTGAAAACACGATTATTCCCCCCGAAATACTTGTCAGGAGCGGTAAGTGGTAGATATTGATAGCTTGCCATTTGAACGTTGAAGGACGTGCTCCTCAGTGGTTGTTGCCTCGCACTCACGATTCAGAGGACCCAAGTTCGATTACGCACACTGGAGTCTTTTTGTGGGATTTTTTTCTCGTACGTTTTGATATACATAGATACGTATACATATACAATGAGTGACGGTGACGCCGGGGATGAAATCCAGTCTATAATTGATCGCAATAAAATAAGTGTGCGTGCACAAGCATCTAACTCACCCCGCCCCCATCCACGGCGCAACGTACACGTGGGAGGTAAGCGCGTTGGCGCATCGCCACGAACTGGGTGCCGAGCACGGGTGGCTTTTTATTGCGATAGCAATTATGTGGACAGTTTCGGCTGGTTTTTACCGTCGCCACTGCTGCTGTCATGCACCGTATATGTATACGTATCCATATATAGGGAAACTCGAGAAAAAAAAAAGCCGCTGCACTTGGCACCCAGCTCATCGCGACACGCGTGCTTTGCCCCATGCATGGGGGCAAGGGTGGGGGTTAGGTGCTTGTGCACTCGGGCTTGTCCTTCAGTGGGGAGAATCGTGTGCCTTGGTCTTTTACCGGAATGATTTTGTTAGTTGCCTGGGCCACAAAGGTCAACTTTGCTCGCTGGGCAGGCCCTGTTTGTGAAAAGAGCGCACTTTTGAAACACAGTAAAGCAACAATTTGGACACTCGTTAGTTCGCACTCATAACTGTACCTGTGAATACGTTTTGTGCATCGTTTTTGTTTAAACAGCATATTAAGCATCTAGCTGTAAACGTTGTTAGTTAGCTCGCATCCTTTGTATTTTGTTTTTGTATTTTGTTTTCGTGCGTCATTTGTGCGTGAACAGCGCGCTGTACGTTTCGATCTGCTAGCCTTTCTCAGCCTTACATTCTAAGTTATTGCTATCGCATTCATTGCTTCACCCTTGCATCGAAACTGTGACTTTTTTTTTTAAGTTTTCATATATATATATATATATATATATACATACGGCGCATGACGGCAGCGGGAAAAAGCACCCAAGACTGTCCATATACTTGCTATTTCAGTAAAAAAATAGTGTGTAATATTCACATGGCTTGTGCTTCCATGCTGCAAGTAAAGCATAGGAGAAAGCTTGGTTTAATTGCAAATGTGAAATGTACTGTGAGCAAAGGTGAGGTGACCGACAGTCACTGGGCCTAAGAAATTTAGGGTGAGGTCTGACACCGATGCCTAGTTGACGCAGCCTGATAGTCTGGCCCAGGCGTAGCGGGGCGTGTTTTCTTTGTCGACCAAAGACTATGTTATTATACTAAGTACTATGACTAATCGAAGGATACTGCAGTCACATTTTAGCCCACGTACGTTATTTTTCCAAATATTTCTCATTACGAGCAAACCAAATATATTACTTCAAGTTACTTTTGCACATAAAAAATAACAAACCATACCCCATGTTTGATTCTTCTCAGTGTGTTGAGTACTGGCTCCGTACACCTGGCATAAGAACACTGAGAACTAGGACCACCTATGGTCAGCAACATACTATCAAATACCCAGTCTTCTCAATAAACTTAAAAATATAGTTGACCTAAATTTCTTATTCATAATATAACTGACCTAAAAGTCTTCAGAATTATATTGAATATATTTAATATATTTTGATTAGTTATTGCTTTATGTATACTAATTATTAACTGTATAGTTACAATACTGTAGTTTGTTTTACAAATGTATATGTCTGCAAATGTGTTTTTGATCTCACCTATTCTACATTTTGTGATAATAATGTTTAATGGTATTTTGTCTTTTATTATGCATATTGCTCTTTTCCTCTTTCACATTTGTCGCAGTTATTTGTCTGATTATAATTTGCTGATTGTTAGTTTGTGTAAAAAGTTGTTTTATCTGCGTCTAAGTTGTGTACCAGACATTTTGGAGCAAAAGCCTTCATCAGGCTTTACAGCCTTTTGCTTTTGCTTCGTTTTTTCCTTTGTACAGGAAAATAAATTAATAAACCTCAAACCTCATTCCTATCCTTCGTCGAAAGTAGATGTGGAGTTCAGCTAGTCGTAAATATTGGTGTGTTTTAATCTCTAATGCAAGCTGATAGATTAGTGCCAAGTGATGGCTCCCCTCCTGTATAATCATGGTGTTACGTAGGGTGATGAAATAACATGAGCACGACAATGCAGAAAACTGTAAATCCAACCAGTATCGTACAGTGCGATTATTTCAGACAGTGTATGACCTACTGTCCCCTAATACAGCTCTAGTTGTCATTTTGCTATTACTTGCTAATGCACATACGTTGGGTGAGAATGTGTATTCACTTCTGGTGATGCGAAATGTTTTCAGTATGAAAATTGGCTCACTGTATCTAGAATTTTAAAGCAGAATAATGAAAGTATTGACGCACAACTAGTATACGTTTTATTTGTCCTGACCATCCAATATATACTTACAAGGTTGATAGATCAAATGATCAAAGAAAGTGCTTAGAAAATGTCATTAGTACTACTAAAGCTGTGCAAAGCTTGTGCACAAACATGCGAAGTCAAGAAAGAAGGTCAAGTTCTTCATTTTACAAAGCAGTCGAAGGCCTGCTAACAAGCGTCCATTTTATGATGGCCTGTTGCACTGCGTCCACCTACTTCATTGCTTTTGAGGCATGCAGGGGCCCTGTAACATAAAGGTATTCGACATCAAGCCTTGTCCTTCATTTTTTTTTCTGCAGGTAATGGCAAAGGCCCAGAAGATGATGGAGAAGAAAAACCTGCACATCCACTTCGATGACCTCTGAAGCCATCTTTGAAAGCAATATTGTTTTTGTACAGTTGTGATCAGCACAAGGGTTTGCTAATTACCTTTTTGTTGAAGTTTAAGTACGAAAATGTATACGAACATTAAACATAGTAATTCATACCTAGCCACTCTGTTTGTTTGCATCCTTGACAAACAATCTGGTGAGTAAATAAGCATACCTGCCAAGTCTCCAGGATTGTCCGGTAGACTCCGGATTTCGACCGTTTCTTCCATTTGTACGGTTGTCACGAAACTTTGCTGGAAATCGAAATTTCGTTCATGATCTGGCCGCATTGACGAAAACGCAGGTCAATCCACTCCAGGCTTTTTGCGAACCTATTGTGTTTTATTATAAACGAATTTATGATGTGTTCATCTAAATATACAGTAGAATCTCAGTGATACAATGCCACGGCAGATACAAATCCGTGAAATTTCCCAGCCATATACCACTGTGTCCTTTGGGCTAATATTCGAGTACTCTGAACATATTTTTTAATGGCGGTGGTTGATATAAACTTTAGTACTGAACGGATGCCGAGAGCAGTGTGCTCGAAGATTCGGAAGTATTCACGTGACCAGCGCACAGGCCGTCTTCTACGGTGCGTGTGATTGTCGTTACCACAACTGCTGTGGACGAAACCGCGGTCGTTCTTGACACGATTTGGCAACTACGTAGCTGACAGAAGTCTAAAAGTGTGCTCGCACACAATGCTCGAGCAGTTATAGAGACTGCTTTCCGCAAACTCTGCGGACAAGACTGCGGCAGATGCGATCATAGGTTATAACAAACGACTTATTTTTCAGGGCACGTGTGCACGGATTGAAATGGGAGCTACCGTTTGCAGCAATCGCCGCGCACAAAACCGTGGTCGCAGCGACGCGATAGCGATCTAGGAGCTCCGAAGACACGCGGCTAACGCAGCGGTAGATTAAAGGCAGTAAAGACGTAAAAAAATGCCCCCACCTCCACGAAAGGAATCGTGAGAAAATGCGAATGCATTTGTTGCGCCGAGAGAGGGCACCGTTGCCATCAGACATTTGCCTTCACCGGCTTCTGCCATCACCTTGAGAGGGGCCCAGCCAGCGAATGATCGAGAGTGAGGAGCGAGCGGACGGGAGATTGGGGCGCCAGCGTTCTCGGTTTTGCGGTAGCGTTTTTCAGCGGCGTCTCAAGCACACATTTCCTGGTGTTCTTGAGAGGCGCCCAGCCAGCGAACGCTCGAGACTCGAGTGGTGGTGGTAGTGGTGGAAGAGAAAAAAGGCACCTAATTTCTGCTGCACGGTAGGGAGCACGGCGCAGGGCCTTCGAGTGAGGTGCGAGTGGACGGAAGAGTTGGGTGTAGGAAGTAAAGTGAGCGAATGGTGACAGAAGGAGTGGCAAAGCACTGCACCATGGCCTCCGAAATTGTGGGCGTCATGCACCAGCAATTACGTGCGCCTGCAATTTTGGAGGCCCTGTCTGCACCATAGAGTTTCATACAATAATACCTAGAGGGCAATCTGCCGCTAGTGTCTACACGGGCTCCTTCAGCGGCGCTTGTACCCCCATGAGAATTATGGTAAGTACAGGCTTCGGATCCGCTTTGGATGGACTACGTTCCTGAGATTCGCGACGCTTTCTTCCAAGGGTAAAACGAAGTGATATGAACATATATTTAATTAAAACTCAATTTATTTGTACACAATCTTTATTGCAAAAAGTTTTCATGACGATGCGGCAAAAGGGAAACCTGGGCTAATTTAACTGTTAGGGTATGCATTGCTCTGCCATTGCGTTCCAAGTTCGGTATCACGATTTAATTAATTATTTTTTACAACACTTGAGAACAAGCATGCTTTTTTTCCCCTTGAAGTGGGCATTACCTGTTTATGAAAATAACAGTACAGTATTTAATGATAAGCAGTTAACGTTTGGTTTTCTGCCATGCTAGGTGCGTCTGTTCAAGTGGTCTGCCCCCAACGCACCTCTGGTTTGTTGCGAAGCCAAGTCAGCGGAGTGCGACGGTGCGTCTACTTACTTCGTCATCGTTTTGCAGTCGATTTAGAACGAGTTTAGGCAAGATGCCCTCATGAAAAAACATGAACTGGAAGCAATATCCTGCATTGGCTTGAGATGCTACATCTATGCGCAGCGGTGAGTGGACGACGCTTCATTTAAACTGTCAAATACGACTTGTAAAACTCCAATGTGGCAGCAAATTGCAGAGTGGTCGTAAGCCTCTTTGAACAACCATGGCGCTGCTTCAGTGCTTTTGACAGCACTTCTCTATTCGTCCTGCACGAGGAAGAAAACTGAAGCTCTAGAAAAAGTCTGTAGACAGTTCGCTAGCTAACCTTATCCAATCCGAAGCCTGTACTTCCAATGAAGGTACACGATTGCAGCGCCAGATTCTTCTCTAGGTATTATTGTATAAAACTCTATGCACTGCACCAACCCTCTCCTACACTCTCGCACCACATGCTCCGGTTGCTAGGGGCGAGAATAAGCACGCACGCCGGAGGTGTTGCAGTGGAAGATGGAGTGAGAGCGGAGAGATAGCAGCTGCCGGTGCGCGGACGCCTGACATTGCTCGACTAATAAATAGAAGCGTTTTGTCGTTTCTGTTAAAGGAATCTAGTAGCGAGCAACGCTTTGGACTTGCGCTTTCACGACTGCCAGCTGCTCCGTCCCGTCCGTTCACGTGTGTCCCAGGAAGACATACGTGAGTTGTTTTGATGGAAATAGATTTTACTAGTTGTTTTTATGATGCGAAATTTCGGGAGTATTTGCACTCCCCCTTTTACTCTCACCTTAGTGTGAAACCCTACCCTCATGTGTGTAGCCACTCCAAGCCATTATAAGACCACAACGCCGATGTTTATGCTTGCGATTCGGACCCCTCCCCCCTCTTGTTTTTCGCATTGTTTTGGTGGCCCCTCTCCGCCGCTCGCAACGCTCGGGCTCACTTCTCACGTCTTCTCACGTGGGCATCATCCCACCCGTGCCATCTCTCTACATCTGTCGGCGAGAAGCCGCGAGCCGGCGTGTCCGCGCGCCTCGAAAATCTCGCGACGCGGACACCATGGACAGCGCGCTGCTGCTTGCCGCGCAATCACACCAACGGACGGGACGCCGTTGCGGCATGCTTCCTGCTAGTGTGGGCGTACCTTTCCTGGCTGTTGCCGGCGTTCCGAGGGTTAGCGAAGCCGATCGCGTTTGCGAATGGCGACGTCAACACCGACGAGGCACGAGCCAGGGAAGCCGAACGCAAGCGTCGGCAGTCGAAGACCAGCCACACCGACGAGATGCGAGTCAAGAACACTGATCGTGTTCGAGAATACAGAAGGCGCCCGAGTAACACTGACAAGACGTGAGCCAAAGAAGCCGAGCGCAAGCGTCTTCAGCGCGTCCCGCCTCCCGTACCTTTGCATTTCGAACAAACGTTTACTTGAGCCCAAATCATATGTACGCTGGGCGGGCGCGGTACGCGCTCGGAAGGCAGTGCTTGCGCAGACACAGCAAGCACGGCTAAACGCTCGCCGTATGTGAGTGTTTGCAGCGATCTGATATTAGACAGTTATAGTTTATGGTTAACATGATAGCGGACATTAAGGGAATGTCGTTGCCGTGCAACAAAGGTCCGTTGTAGACAGTGTCTTATAGTTTAGTGGGATAGCGTTTACGTAGTTTACGTGCCCCAGCTGGGACGGTGGCGCCACCTATCGGATGGTTAACAAGTAAACACAGTGAAAAGGAAAAGAAAACAAGAATGTTTGTCTATGCCACTGCGTGAAGCATTGTTACAAGTTTATTTTGCTAGTAATAAAAGCAAATAAATATGAACCATGCACCAAATGCGAAAAAAATTGTTGCCGATTTGTTTACATCGATTTTGTAGTTAGGCCTAGACGTGTTCGAAATGGGAAGCTATCTCAAAAATTACGCCAACTTATCGGTAATACTCGGTCATCGAAGCTAAATGAAGACAAGCGATATGATAAATGAAGACAAGGATATGATCGGGCGTCCATCCGTCGCCACCGTCCAAGTAACAATTATCTTGTCGCCGATGATGGCAATCGGTTTTCTAAACAGTGTTTGCTTACGTAGTTGTATACAAATAAAAAAGAAAAGAAAACAAAAATTTATTGCTGGGAGCTTTGTCTAGCTTAAATCGCTCACCCCCAAACGTATTTTCTAAAATTGGTCAACATTGCCGCAATGCAGTCGTGTTATGCGGCGAAGTGCACGCAGTGTAGTGAGGTGAAGCATGTGCGTGCGTGCGTGTAAAATGGAAATGTAGCACTGTCAGTAGTCCTCGTGTGTGTGCCTTAATTATACACGTGCCATCTCCCGTCTCATTAATGGCGATATGGTGGACAGCATCGCCACCGACGCGAGCCTTTGTAATGAGCCCATATCAATTTACCCTGGAAAAACATTTTGCGACAAGCAGTTTGCAAAGAAATGAACTTCTAGTTTATTGCAAAATTGATTCATGATTGTGGCACGGCATCTCTCAAGAAGGGCTAAATGCCTAAGTGGATTCCAGTGGTACTCCACATTTCCTGCCGTCGCATATATGCCCCAAATAGAAAATGATTATTAAGCAGATATGCACTCGAGCTAAGTATGTAAGATGACCATCCATGTTTCATAAACGTTATTTCAAAAGTAGTAACTCGTGCTTCGCTTCATGAAGTCCTTTCAGTAATCAAAGGAAATACTCACTGAAGAATGGTCAAAAATTATACGTGCAGTTTGTCAATGAAGCAATAAGCTGACCTTAAATTGATTTCGGAGAACCACAACTAAGCAAGATGGTTTCAGCAAACTCATGGTAACCCGACATGATAGCACATGTTCAAGCATCTTACAGGGGCTGGTTGTTGGTTAGATGGGTGGTAATTAGGCAACTGCCTGTCATCAGGTGTCGAGATGCATTGCATTCCCGGTCATCAAAAGTCTTAAAAATATGGCTATAAATTTGCCTAGCTCAAACTTTTTCGATGGGATGAGCACTTATTAAAATCAGTGCTTATTAAATCCTCTATTTAATAGAGTTTGCCCGAAGGCTAGCAGATATCTTTAATGAGCTGGTCACTTTCGTAACATATCTCATAGGTGAATTATTATTGGCT